GGGAAATGATCCTTTTTGGTGGCCTTGTTAAGTTTGCGATAATCCATGCATATTCGCCACTCGGTGTCAGTGCATGTTGGTAACAACTCATTATCTTCACTTGTCACCACGGTTGTGCCTCCCTTTGTTGGCACACATTGGATAGAACTCACCCAAGAACTATCAGAGATGGGGTAAATCACTCTAGCATCAAGCCACTTGAGAATATTTTTCATCACAACTTGCTTCATGATTGGGTTTAATCTTCTTTACAGTTCTATGGATTTTTCATGGTATTCTTCCAGCAGGATTTTGTGCATGCAAATGGTTGGACCTATTACCTTCAGATCTGCCATCGTCCATCCTAACACTCTCTTGTGCTGTGACAAAACACTTAGCAGACTACATTCTTGGTTAGGAGTAAGGGCAAAGGAAATAATCACAGGCAAAGTTTCATTACTACCCAGATAAGCATATTTAAGATGTTGTGGAAAATTCTTTAACTCTAGGGTAGGAGCATAATGTAATGAGGGCTTATGAGGATCAAATTCATCTAAATTAAGAGGTTTAAATTGCGTACCTGGGCTAGCTATGAGGAAGCTAGCCTGCTTCTCCTCAAAAGAAAAATCATTATTGAAAAATCATTGTCGGATTGGGTCAGGATCCATATGATGCGGGTATTTTGACCGTCCCAAGATCACAATGCTTCCGTACATGCCTAGTTTCAATTTTAAAATCTCTGCCTTATTATTCCGTAACTGAGATTCACCGAGGAAAACTATTTGGGGAGCTTTGGAGGATATAAACCTCTTCAATTCACGGACAGATGAATTCCCAAACCCACGACAGTTTCAACCAATGATAATCATGGGTCTCAGGAGGGCTGTGGTGTAGCATCCGCCATTTCACTAGGTATTTTCCTATGCCACTCACCTCCGTAGCAGCTTCTCCTTCAACCATTGTTTTTGCCGTGCGAGATTTCTTTGGGGTTAAATTAATCTATAAATTATAAAATATTTTAATCAAGCTTTTATTTATCAATCTTATTTTAATCATATTTTTTTATAATTTTAATAATCTACTTGAATAATAAATATCAATTCAAACAAGACGTGGAGTATATTTAAATTATAGATATCAAATTCTACATATGTTTGTATATGTTATATAAATTGTCTATTACTGCATGAATCAGGTGACTTCAGTGGTTAAAGGGTGATTGTTATTTCTAAAAGTCTCGAGTTTGAACACGATATCCGTAAGCATGTTTAAGCGTTCATTGTCAAATGGTTAGAGAATGTATTGAATAAATTTTGGGGCTACTAAAAAAAGATGGTTTGCGTTTTAAATGCAAGAATGTGGTTTCTTTATATATGCAAACATTTTTGCGTCGATTGCTGTTGGCATATCACCAAGCATTTGGTGGCTACCTTATGATAATTAATGTTTCGTTCAACATTTCATCAAATGTTTGGTATATGCATAATTAATTTATTTCTATGTTGATAAGGCCTTATTTGGGGGAACATCCATTTTGCTAGAATCTTCAATCATTGTTGTTAAAGGCTATTTGTGATTACCCATCTTTCATCTTTTGCTAATATTGTTGGAATTGATTAAAAATTTCTTTGTTTTAACTAAATCAATCAATCAATAAAATGCAATAATGAATTCTTTGTATATATTTTGTAATGGGAAAGCAAAGAATGAAAATAACCCACAAATAATAATATAAAAATTCTTTATTCTAGAAACACAAACCCAAAGCTAAGTTGCTCTCTTTATGTATACATTTAGCTCAATTCATGGCATTGATCCCTCTACAATGCTTAAGTTATAGATATAGTTTTGTACTTTTGTTTAATATAAATTCATTCTCTATTTTTATGAATTTATTGGTTAAATCAAATAATTAACACTTTTAGTTATTTTGATTAAAAAGTTGAGTTAGATTTTTTGTTTGTTAAAACAGCCTTTCTAGTAAACAAAAATCTATGTTAACGTGATAACTTGGAAGTAAAGATGAGACTGAAATGGGATAGGGATGGCCACTTTCACCTTCATCTCCTCTCTGGATCTTAAAATTGTGGCAAAAGACATTAAGTTTTAAAGGGACCAACTATAATACATGGTGTATTTGATTAGGAGAAAATATATTGAAATAAATTATATATTACTTAATAAAAAATATGTGACTAAAGAATGTCTCGAAAAACGTTTTAGTGTTTAAAGATTTTTTTAAAAAAATAAGTGTTTAAAGTTTCTCTATTATATTTTTAGGTGTCTACCGTTAAAAAAATCGTTAAGTAACACGTGTCACATTCATATTTTTAAAAAAACATTATTTAAGAAAAAATATGAACGTGATACATGTCACTTAACGATTTTTTTTACGGTAGACACCTAAAAAAATAACAGAAAACTTTATACACCTATTTTTAGCAAAAACTTTTATAGGCACCAAAAATTAATTTTGAATATAATTTATGCACTTATTTTTATATTAAACCATTATATATATATATATATATATATATATATATTGGAGTGAATATTCTATCAAGTCAAATCGATTGAAAATATATTTGAACTATTCAAAATTAGCAATTTTATTATTTAAATTTTATTTTAGTTTTTAAGTCAAGTCAAATTTGAAAATTTGAGCATAACTCAATCGAATATATATTTTTGAGTTAAACTTTAAAAAATAAATAGGTAAAGTTAAAAGTTTATTGACAATCTAAATTAAGTCAAATCACATAAATTAGAGAGCATATATTAAAAAAAACGTATTTCAAAGAAAATGGAGAAAAAAAAAACAAATTTTAATATGATAAATTATGTTTGATACTCTGATTGTTTAATACTTAAACCTAATAAAATTCAATCAATTCAAGAATTAATTATTATATAAATTAATTTGAGACTATGGATTTATATTTTAAAAACTTGAAAATTAATTTGAATTTTTTTGTGAGAGATACCAGTTTTCTCAAAATTAATAGTGGCCCAATAAGTATATGCATCAATTTGTTAATCAGTTTCAGATATTTGAATTGTAAAAGTTCAACTCTACTTAGGGTACAGAACTTTTGAAAATGACTTTTAAAATTATTGTAGAAAAGAACTTTTAAAAGTGTAGTTTAAAATTTAACTGTTTGTAATTGTTGTTAAAAAGTAAGTTTAAAAAGATAAATTATTTATTATAGACGTTATGTTAATATTAAATTATTAAAATAAAATGTAAATACTTAATTGAGTGGAGCTCATGCATTAACAAGGGTAAAATTATAATTTGCTCCCAAACGCAAAGTTGAAAATGAAAAAAAAAAATCATAGTTTTTACGGTTGGTTTGAAACCACTATTCCTACCATATTTTTTTTATTTTTTAGCCATTTGATATTGATTTTACAGTCAAAACGGACTTTTAAACTAAAAGCTTTTTTAAAAAGCTACACCAAATAAGGCTGAGAGGCATTTTGGCATTGTTTTTGAAAAGTGAATTTTAAAAGTGTTGTAGAAAAACAAATTAAAAATGTTTTATAAAAGAATAGTTTAAAATTTAATTGTTTGTAATTACTATTAAAAAGTGATTTTTGAAAAGATAAAATGTTCATTTTAAACATTATGTTACAAATTTAAAATATAACATTTAAATTATATTTATAATTATTAATACTATGATATACAAAATATATAAACTTAAACTATAAAAAATATTTCTTTTGTACAAAGGTAAAACGACGGCGTTCAACTACCATCTTAAAATTTCAATTTCAACTCTATCAGCCTCGAGCAAAGGTAGAAGTCATGGGGCGGTTCTTCCATGATATGGATTCCTTCCTCTTCTTCGAGCGCCTTCTTTGCCAAGAGATCAGCACACCATTTTCTTCTCTCTAGGTATGTATGATCTCCGTAATCCAATTCTCCTCAATGATTTTTGCGCAATCCTTGAATAAAATTTCCGTTTGAAACTCTTCAAAACGTTCCCTTTTTAGGGCATCGATAGCCCACTTCGCGTCAGCTTCGATTATTAGGTTTCTTAATCCCATTTCCTTGGCTAATAATAATCGTTGTCTTATTCCCCATATTTCAGCCATCGCACTATCAGTTCGTATGCATGTAAATGAACTGAACGAACAAGAATGAAATATTTTTATGTTTGTTCGTTTAATTTTAACCGAATAAATTAACAAATATAAACGTAAACGAACAAAAATTTTATTGTTCGTGTTCGTTCATTTAAATGATAAACGAACACAAATGAACGAACATAAACGGACGTAAATGAACATAAACAGACGAACGTAAACGAACACAATAAATGAACATAAACGAACAAAATAAGTGAACATAAATGAATTTATTTTACAACAAGATCTCGAAGTCTTGAAAAAATTTATTATGAGATTCTGACCGAGTCATCTCCGATGATTTAGTGAAGAGCACTAGACAGCAGTGGACAAAGACTAAATAGCGTAAGGTGTGAGCGATAGCCGATAATATTGAGATTTGAAAATATATTTTTTCTTCTTTCCTAACAATTTTAGGATTATATTTTTATTTAATTGCTTTGGGCTTTTTTTATTTGTATTTAAAATTAATTGAATTTTAAAATATTAATGAGTATCATATTAAAAAATTTTGGGCTTTAATATTTTAAATGAGTATAGAGAGATTGGTCTAAACATAAATAAACGAACGAACATAAACGAATATATTATTAAACGTTCACGAACATAAATAAACGAACAAGTCATTTGTTTGTGTTCATTCATTTAATTAAATGAACACAAAATCTTGTTCATTTTCATTAGTTTAATAAATAAATGAACATAAACGAATTTTCGGCTGAACGGTTTATGAACGGTTCGCTTAATGTTTGGTTTGTTTACGGGTTTATCACTTCGCTCAATATTCATCGTGAAACCCTTAATCCAATGGCCCTCATCATTTCGAATTAGACCTCCTGCTGCAGCAAGACCCGTTCCTTGATTACAAGCTCCGTCCGTGTTGAGAATCAAATTCCCCTTGGCAATTTCCTCCAGCTAACCCATTGCGGGTTTTTCGTGATTCTGGTATGAGACCCGTCTTTAGCTTTACTAATTGTACTTGCTAAGTTGTTGTAGATAGAAACTTGTTTTGGCTGGTATTTGATGTTGTTGAAGACATACTCATTTCTCTGTTTCCGTAAACCCCATATAGTAATAGTGAATAGAGTTCCCCACTCAGTTCGGTCGTTTTCTTTTTTCTTCAATTTACTATTCCTCTCTATCCATAATTTGAAGTTGCTGTTGTAGAACTCTCTGTCCCATCCAATAGCTTTATGATCTTCCCAAACAGTCTTCGCTGGGTTGCACCTTCTCAAAATGTGATCCAAACTTTCAACCTCTCCTTGGCAGTTTTTACACCTAGCATCTTGGGTCATGGATTTCCTAGCTCTTCTATTGAAAAACGGTGCACATGGGTGCACATGGCACCGAAAATCATTCAATTGCTTTGTCAAATGGGGGCACCGAAAGGTGTAAAAAATATATTATTTTATTTTATGGTAAAATCATATCTAGTTATTGTAATTTAGGGTATTTACAAATTAGTCCTTAAGTTTCAACTATAAATACCCTAGCTCATTTAGCTTCAAAACCATCCCAAAGCATTCTAGCTTCTTCCAATACTAGAGAGAATTTACAGAGTTTCTTGAGAGTTGTTTTCTCCTTTTTATCAATAGAGAATTATCATTGTTTTCTCCTTGATAGATCGAGAGAGGTTGTAATTCCTATTTTCTCATAATGAAATTCTTTTACCGTTGCCCATGGTTTTTACCCTATAAAATTTAGGGGTTTTCCACGTAAATTGTGTGTTTCTTTTATCTTTAATTTTTATTTTCTCAAATTATCAGTTGCATTTTTGCTCTATCCGATAACTGTCTTCCACACAACAATTGGTATCCGAGCCAGATTTGAGTGTGTAATATCTGTTTATTGTCTTTGTGGTTGCCACCAAAAGGTGGATCCTCCAACATAAGAAAGTAAGAAGGTATTACCCATTCTTTGAAGGTTCCAGAGAACTATTCACGATAGTGAAATAGTGGGAGATATCCGTAAAAGAAGCTATAGCAACGAAATTTGATATTGAAAAATTCAATGGGAGAAATTTCTCATTGTGGAAATTGAAGATGAAGGCCATCCTGAGGAAAGACGATTGTCTAGCAGCTATCAGTGAAAGGCCGGTGGATTTCACAGATGACAACAAATGGATCGAAATGGACTGGAATACTATGGCAAACTTTCATCTAGCATTAGCAGATGAAGTATTGTCAAGCATCGAGGAGAAAAAGACAGCTAAGGAGATATGGGATCATCTCACCAAACTGTACGAGGTCACATCGCTACACAATAAAATTTTCCTTAAGAGAAAATTGTACACTCTCCGTATGCCAGAATCTACTTCAGTGACAGAGCACTTAAATACACTGAACACTTTATTTTCTCAGCTTATATCTTTAAGCTGTAAAATAGGAGAACAAGAACGTGCTGAACTTCTACTTCAAAGTCTACCAGATTCGTATGATCAACTCATCATCAACTTGACAAACAGTAATGTCATCAGTCTAGTCTTCGATGATGTTGCAGCTGCTGTTCTACAAGAAGAAAATCGGAGCAAGAACAAAGAAGACAGATAAGTAAATCTGCAACAAGCAGAAGCGTTAACAACAATGACAATGATGAGAGAGAGATCAACAGAACGTGGCCAAAGCAGCAGTCACAAACATGGTAGATCGAAGTCGAGAAGCAAGAAGAATTTAAAGGGCTACAACTGTGGAAAGAAGGGTCACTTGAAGAAGGATTGTTGGAGTCTAAATAAAAACTCCAATCCACAAGGCAATACCGCAAACACTTCAGATGATGGAGATGCTCTATGCTGTGAAGCGTCAACCACCGTAGAAGGCAGAAAAAGATTTGCAGATATATGGCTCATTGATTCAGGAGCAACATATCACATGACCTCAAGAAGAGAATGGTTCCATCAGTATGAACATGTCCCAGGAGGATCTGTGTATAGTTGCAATGATCATGCCTTAGAGATCATTGGCGTGGGAACCATCAAATTGAAGATGTATGATGGAACAATTAAAGTTGTTCGAGATGTGCGGCACGTGAAAGGCCTGAAGAAAAATTTATTATCCTACGGATTGTTGGATAATAATGCAAGCAAGATTGAAACACGAAAAGGAATCATGAAGGTGTTCCGTGGAGAGCTTGTGGTGTTGAAAGGCGAAAAGATAGCTGCAAACTTGTACATGCTGAAAGGAGAGACTTTGCTAGAAGCAGAAGCCTCTGTTGCCTCATGTAGTTCAAATTCTGCAATGCTATGGCATCAGAAACTTGTACACATGTCAGAACAAGGAATGAAAGTCCTTGTGGAGCAAAACCTACTTCCAGGCTTAACAAAGGTATCACTTACCTTGTGTGAGCATTGCATAACAAGTAAGCAGCACCGGTTGAAATTCAACACGTCAAATTCTAGAGGCAAAAGTGTTCTAGAATTGGTTCACTCTGACGTATGGCAAGCACCGGTTACATCCCTAGGCGGAGCAAAATACTTTGTCTCATTTATTGATGACTACTCTAGGAGATGTTGGGTGTACCCTATTAAGAAGAAGTTAGATGTTTTTTCAACTTTCAAAAACTTCAAAGCGCGGGTGGAACTTGATTCTGGAAATAAGATCAAGTGTTTCAGAACAGATAATGGAGGAGAATACACAAGCGAATAATTTGATGACTTTTGCAGGAAAGAAGGCATCAAAAGACAGTTCACAGTGGCGAACACTCAACAAAATGGAGTGGCAGAGCGGATGAACAGAACCTTGTTAGAAAGAACAAGAGCAATGTTGAGGGATGCAGGCCTAGAAAAATCATTCTGGGCAGAAGCAGTCAATACCGCTTGTTATTTGGTGAATCGAGCTCCATCAACTGCAATAGAGCTGAAGACACCAATGGAGATGTGGACTGGTAAACCAGCTGATTATTCAAACCTCCATGTATTTGGAAGTATTGTGTACGTGATGTACAACTCCCAAGAAATTTCAAAGCTAGATCCAAAATCCAGGAAATGCAAATTCTTGGGGTATGCTGATGGTATAAAGGGGTATCGCTTGTGGGATCCCACTGCCCGCAAAGTGATCATCAGCAGGGATGTTATCTTTGTAGAAGATAAACTACAAAGAAAAGAAGATGATGATAGCGCTGAAAAGTCAGAGACTACACAGATATATGTGGAAAATGAGGTTGAACAAGGAGATTATTCTGAAGCAGAACCAGCACATGATAAACAAGAACCAGAGAGTTCTGAAGCTCCAACAACTCATCAATCAGATCGTGTGATAAGACGTCCCAATTGGCACTCAGATTATGTTATAGAAGGTAATATTGCATACTGCCTTTTAACAGAGGACGGTGAGCCATCAACATACCAGGAGGCAATAAACAACTCAAAATGCTTCACTGTGGATGATGGCGATGCAAGAAGAAATCGAAGCCCTTCATAAAAATAATATATGGGACCTTGTGTCACTACTACAAGGAAGGAAACCAATTGGTAACAAATGGGTCTTCAAAATCAAGCAAAATGGTGACGATCAAGTTGAGAGGTATCGTGCAAGACTGGTGGTCAAAGGATATGCTCAAAAAGAAGGTATTGATTTCAATGAAATATTTTCTCCTGTGGTTCAACTAACAACAGTTCGAGTAGTTTTGGCAATGTGTTCTACATTGAACTTACATCTAGAGCAGCTAGATGTTAAAACAACTTTTCTTCATGGAAATCTTGAAGAAGAGATTTACATGCTCCAGCTTGAAGGTTTTGAAGAAAAAGAAAAGAAGAACTTGGTTTGCAGGTTGAACAAATCTCTGAACGGTCTAAAGCAGGCGCCGAGGTGTTGGTATAAGAGATTTGATTCCTTCATTATGTGCCTTGGATACAACAGACTTAATGCAGACCCTTGTGCTTATTTCAAGAGGTCTGGTGATAACGATTTTGTTATATTGCTGTTGTATGTGGATGACATGTTGGTTGCAGGACCCAACAAATATCATATTGAAGAATTGAAGGCACAACTGGCTAGGGAATTTGAAATGAAGGACTTAGGATCAGCAAACAAGATTCTAGGGATGCAAATTCACCGAGACAGAAGTAATAGGAAGATTTGGCTTTCACAAAAGAATTACTTGAAGAAGATCTTGTCACGATTCAACATGCAAGATTGTAAGCCAATTTCTACCCCTCTTCCTATTAACTTCAAATTATCCTCCAGTATGAGTCCTAGCAGTGAAGAAAGAGAGGATGGAGATGTCTCGAGTACCGTATGCATCAGCAGTGGGAAGTTTAATGTTCGCTATGATATGCACAAGACCAGACATTACACAAGCATTGGGAGTGGTTAGTCGGTACATGGCGAATCCAGGCAAAGAGCATTGGAATACAGTGAAGAGGATCCTGAGATATATCAAAGAGACCTCAAATGTTGCATTATGTTACGGAGGATCAAACTTACTAATCAATGAGTATGTAGATTTTGACTATGCAGGGGATTTGGATAAAAGCAAATCTACTGCATGATATGTGTTCAAAGTTGCTGGTGGAGCTGTAAGCTGTGTTTCAAAATTGCAGTGTGGCTACATCCACAACAGAGGCAAAATATGTAGCAACTACACAAGCCAGTAAAGAAGCAATTTGGTTGAAGATGCTATTGGAGGAGCTTGGGCACAATCAAGAGTATGTCTCTCTGTTTTGTGACAGTCAAAGCGCCTTTCATTTAGCAAGGAATCCAGCATTTCATTCAAGGACAAAGCACATATGAGTTCAGTACCATTTCATTCTTGAAAAGGTGGAAGAAGGGATGGTAGATATGCAAAAGATCCATACCAAAGACAACATAGCAGATTTCATGACGAAGGCGATTAATGCCGATAAATTTACTTGGTGTCGATCCTCTTGTGGCCTGACGGAAATATAAGCAACATGAAGGTACAAGGTAGAAAGAATGGTGTGAAGATATGATTGTTCCAATCAAATCTTCAAGTGGGAGATTGTTGAAAAACGGTGCACATGGGTGCACATGGCACCGAAAATCATTCAATTGCTTTGTCAAATGGGTGCACCGAAAGGTGTAGAAAATATATTATTTTATTTTATGTTAAAATCATATCTAGTCATTGTAATTTAGGGTATTTACAAATTAGTCCTTAAGTTTCAACTATAAATACCCAAGCTCATTTAGCTTCAAATCCATCGCAATGCATTCTAGCTTTCTTCCAATACTAAAGAGAATTTAGAGAGTTTCTTGAGAGTTGTTTTCTCCTTTTTATCAAGAGAGAATTATCATTGTTTTCTCCTTAGTAGATCGAGAGAGGTTGTAATTCCTATTTT